CCCAGTTTGGTTTGCTTTTAAAGGTACCAACAAAAGGGCTAAGCAATGTCGTAGGTTTCTTTTTTCAGGGTTCCGTGACACACCTAATTAATGTCTTTTTAGTTTTTAAACTGCAAAGAAGATCAAACCCGCTGACCCGCCGACAAGAGTCGTCGAATTTTGACATGTTGATAAAAGTCATACAAAGAACAATTAGAGTAGGCGCACACCGTTGATTTTTCGTCGGCCGATAGTTTAGTCGGGCAGTTGATCAGTATGGGCATGTATGGGAGTGCGCACACTACGCCGATTCGATTTGGCCGATTCTTCATACAATTTGAAATCGGGCACAACTATCGGCCAACTAAAAATCAACGGTGTGCGCCTACTCTTAGGCTGGGTTGCACCATCTTACTTTAACTTTGACAAACGTCAAAAATCTGCCAAACTCCATACAAAAAGCACCGGTTATCGTCATAGTTTCCGTTGTAGTTAGGTGGTGCAACTCAGCCTTAGTCATCGACATGATTCTTTTGCTGTTGGAGCAAAAAGTTCTCGAGTGGAAACCACGGGCCGGAAGACGTAGCATGAGCAGGCCTCCCACTAGGTGAACCGACGATCTGGGATGGTCGCGGGAAAAACCTGGATGCGGGGAGTGCAGGACCGGTCCAGGATGGAAAGCCTTGGGGGAGGTCTTTGTCCAGTAGTGGATATCATTTAGCTCAACCGAACGATGATTGTTTTGAAATTTATAAAGCCGCCGACACCAAGCTGGGCTCTGGGCTTGTTGTGATTTAGATTATTATTAGAGTCCTTTAAAACGATTGATTGCGGCGAAAGAGGCATGGAAACTATGCGTAAGCCTGTAGTACGAGTACGAAACCCTCATATTAAAGTGCGACACGCAATTGCTTCGTTGTACTAAAAATTTTTGAAAGAAATTATAATAAATTCTCAAAAGGATTAAAAGAGCTTTTAAGTACAAAATGCTACTACACTATAAAAGAATATCTAGATGATAAAATAAGATGAGTTTATCAATGTAAATAATATTTCGTGTAAGCTTAAGCCTCCTCTCTTACGTTTTATATTTAAATTGCAGCGCCCAACAGGGTCCATAATTATCTGTATTAACACATTGTAACACCTGTATTACTATTATGGAAGCAATAAACGTATTGAGTATTGAGTATTGAGTAATATTATTTTCGTCTACGAAGTCGTTTCACCTGTACTATACCAAGCACATTGTCAAACTTTGCTATTGTTTGACGAAGCCGTTGAAAGTAATAAACAATTTATTTCTTTACAGTGAAAAATTTCACAATATTGTTAAGTTTTTTGAGGGATATTTTTTGACTTTTTTCATGTTTCTTGAATTATAATATTAGAGTCTCCTTCATTTATACACAACGAGGAAGCTCTTGGCCTGCATCTCACCCGATGAAAAGTGATGATCAGCCCAAGGTGGAAGCGAGCTTCACCCGGAATCCTCAATCACAGAGGAACTGGCTATCTTACCTCCACCTCCGGAACACAACAACATTGTTGTTGTTAATGATAATATTTAAGAACTAGCCTTCCGCCCGCGGCTTCGCCCACGTGGAATTTTGTCTGTCACAGAAAAACTTTATCTCGCGCGTCCCTGTTTCAAATAACGGGATAAAAACTCCTATCGTATGTCCTTTTCCGGGACTCAAACTATCTCTATGCCAAATTTCATCAAAATCGGTTCAGTGGTTTAGGCGTGAATGCAAGACAGACAGACAGATTATTTTTGCATTTATAATATTATATTAAGTATAGATTTCCTTTTCAATATGACGAAATTCCTTGCCAAATATGAACTATTAGAATGTTAAAGGATCATGCATGAGATTTACGCCCGTATTCACAAACTTTACTATGAGGTATCACAGTGCGCGCGTACGCAGAGAGTGACACACGAACGAATCACAGACCTCTAATCAACGCTGTGCGTTTGATTTGCTGCTTCATTTAAGCAAGCATCGTTTGTGAAAACGGGCGTTAGAATACTAAGGCTGAGTTTCACCATCTAACAGTAACTTTAACAATAACCGGTGTTTGACAGATTTATGACGTTTATCAAAGTTATAGTAAGATGGTGCAACCCAGCCTAAGTTACCAGAGTACATCAATACACTTAAAGTTAGGTCAGGTGTGGAGCGAAGTATCGCCGCCAATCATGGCTGCAATCAAGGGGCTGTTGCCAAGATTGCTTCCAGGAACCACGATTGGGAAGGGCCAGCTCACACAACACGGAGAAACAGTATTGTACTTAACATTTAAAGGAAAATTCCCAACATACACTATCAAGAGCACAACATTACTATGAGGTCTCACAGTGCGCGGGGACAGGGTCACACACGAACCAATCACAGAGCTCTATGCAAGCATAGTTTGTGAATTACGGGTGTTTTCGTCATGTCCTTGCCAGGCCAGGCTTGGATTGAATCCGCAAGTTTTAGCCTAGAAATTCAAGTCAAGTCTATTCAAGTTGTATAAGACTAGCGGCCACCCGCGACTTCGTACGCGTGGATCCCGTTTAACCCCCCTTAGGGGTGGAGTTTCGTAAAATCCTTTCTTAGCGGATGCCTACGTCATAACATCTACCTGCATGCCAAATTTCAGCCCGATCCGTCCAGTGGTTTGGGCCGTTCAGTCACGCCCGTATTCACAAACGATGCTTGCTTATGTGAAGCAGCAAATCGAACGCACAGCGTTGAATAGAGCTCTGTGACTGGTCCGTGTGTCACTCTGTGCGCCCACGCGCACTGTGAAACCTCATAGTGATGTTTGTGAATACGGGCGTCAGTCACCTTTGATTTACATATGTATTTAGATTTCTATTTTTCAAGTTAGCCTAGAAGTAAGAGACAAGGCAACACAGGGCGAGAAAAAAAAGTACTTTCTAGGTCTTGGTGTGAAGTGCGCCTTACGTGGTGCATGCGAGCAAAGTTACTTGATGTGGAGTTAGCGCGGACTTAAACACACTTGGCGAGCCCCGTTACACTTGCCGGCATGTCACGATCACGGTTCTCGGTTGTAACGTGTACACGTTCGTACGTTGGAGCACATCAGAATAATATTGAGTACATACTACGAAATACTGCAATAAACTAGGTCTATAACCATGTGCTATAATTATACCTAGAGGGAAGAGGGGTTTCCTCTCTCCATCATAGTAATTATTTCAGGAAGGCTACAAAGAAAACGGAATTCAAAATGAGGGTAGGCACTAAAACGATGTGTATGTAATGGAATCACGAACGATAGATTTAACACAATATTTCATGCAGTCAGATGTAGGTATACGTATGTAGTTATCCAGTAAATCTAACTTAAAACCGTTGGGAGTGCAGGTACCTAGTATTGGATGGAGCAAAAGATTCCATATAATATCTCTATCGGTAGCTATAAGTGGAAAAAAAATCTTAGTATCGCTACCAGCCCCCTTAGACAAAACGCACTTTTTGATCGAATCGAAAATCGATTCCGTCAAAACTCCATACAAAAAAGGGGCTTTGCGACCACTTTTCGACTGGTTTGCGATTATAATTTGCACTTTGTCTAGACCCACAGTACCAGCTACTAATGTCAGTAGGGATATGTGGAATAGGGGAATACTCGATACTCCGTGCTATCTGTAATAAAATCGATACATCTAAGCAACTGTTGCGATTTGCTAATAGCAGCTGTTCAATCGATTGCAATACTATCGATTTGCATAAAGGTGAGTACAGACTTGAGCATTTCTATGTAATGTAACGTTCTTGCGAATGGTCATTACAGTGGGTTTAGACAAAATGCACTTTTTGATCGAATCGAAAATCAAATCCGTCAAAACTCCATACAAAAAAAGGCTTTTCGACCACTTTTCGACAGGTTTGCGATTATAACATGCACTTTGTCTAGACCCACAGGTGTATAAGATGACCTAAACTGAACTGTCCCACTAAACTCATTGACAAGGGGACGCCACCATCGTTCAACTTAAAGTTTCCATTATGGCAAAAATTGGAACCAGCGATCCGGTATTGACGGTGGCGCCCCGCTGTCAATGTCACAGTTCACATGTTCGTGCGTGACAGGGTGAAACAGACATTTCATAGAGCGGCTCGTTCTGTACACGTACCTAAATGCTCAAGTCTATACCACGGTAATACTATCTATACAGTATTCTAACTCGGCCATATTTTTGAAATAAATGTCAACAGCCCCGCGGTACGTCACGGTATGACAACATGCGATAGGGCTGCTCACCTACAGTACCCATTCTAATTACATCTGTCTACTTAGAATTTCTATCTAGTATTGTGATTGTAATTTTTTTTTATTTAGACAAACAAAATACTTTTTGAATGGAATAGGATAAAAATGCGTGTTGTTTTGTGGTTAGTAGATTTAATTTAAAAAAATATACTAAAATAATTTTGAATCTTCTAATCATAATGACCGGTTACTTTAATTTCAGGCGGGTGAAGTCGGTCGTGGGCCAAAGCTGGTTTTAAATACAATATAATTTTCATTTCAAATCAAACTGACTGAAAATGACCATTTCTGACAGTTAATGACTAGGTAGGTAGTTTTTGAAAAATTTGACCGTTTAAGACGGTAAGTCAAATTCAATCAACTTAGTCATTTTCAACACTAGGCCATCGACGTCCGTTCGGCACATTCGCGACACCCCTAACTTTTACTTTCGACCGCGTACCGAAATTTGAAATTCGAAGGAATGCTCGCGTTTCGTCGGTTTATATGAAGTTACAATACTGTATGATATTATTACCGTGTCTATACTCACCTTTAGAATCAATTGCAATACGGCAATACTATTCGATACCTACCTACATAGTTTGCAAAAGAGGGCAATGTCTAAAACCGATCGATAGCAAATTGTCTGGAAACACTAGGGGATGTGTGTGAAGTGTTTTAATATTTGGCCTACTGTGAAGGGTTTAGGAGGTAAGTGTAGAAAAAACCAAATTGCAAAAGTCACTTTCAGAATTTATTTGGCAGCCACCAAACTACATTACAATCAGAATAATTAAATTCATAATAATAATAACAACATTTTAGACCTACGAGAAATGAAAAATAGTCCTAAAAATAAAACATACAAATTGTAAAGTTAATATTCCTCGCCGCCCTCGCCCTCTCCCTCGCCGGAGTCCATCCCGACCTCCTCGTAGTCCTTCTCGAGCGCGGCCAGGTCCTCGCGCGCCTCCGAGAACTCTCCCTCCTCCATGCCCTCACCCACGTACCAGTGGACGAACGCGCGCTTGGCGTACATCAAGTCGAACTTGTGGTTCAACCGGGACCAGGCCTCCGCGATCGCCGTCGTGTTCGACAGCATGCACACCGCTCGCTGCACCTTCGCCAAGTCGCCGCCCGGCACCACCGTCGGCGGCTGGTAGTTGATCCCCACCTTGAAACCCGTCGGGCACCAGTCCACAAACTGGATCGTACGCTTCGTCTTAATAGTCCCGATGGCCGCGTTCACGTCCTTCGGCACCACGTCGCCTCTGTACAGCATGCAGCACGCCATGTACTTCCCGTGCCTCGGGTCACACTTCACCATCTGGTTCGCCGGCTCGAAGCACGCGTTCGTGATCTCCGCCACAGACAGCTGCTCGTGGTACGCCTTCTCCGCCGAAATCACCGGCGCGTACGTCACCAGCGGGAAATGGATGCGAGGGTACGGCACCAAGTTCGTTTGGAACTCGGTCAAGTCCACATTCAGGGCTCCGTCGAATCTCAATGAGGCAGTGATGGAAGACACAATTTGCCCGATCAGTCTGTTCAAGTTAGTGTACGTCGGCCTCTCGATGTCCAAGTTACGTCTGCAGATGTCATAGATGGCCTCGTTGTCGACCATGAACGCGGCGTCGGAGTGCTCCAAGGTCGTGTGCGTGGTCAGGATAGAGTTGTAAGGCTCGACCACTGCAGTGGAGATTTGCGGGGCGGGGTAGATTGCGAACTCCAATTTGGATTTCTTGCCGTAGTCCACGGAGAGGCGCTCCATGAGCAGCGAGGCGAAGCCGGAGCCGGTGCCACCTCCGAACGAGTGGAAGATGAGGAAGCCCTGCAGGCCGGTGCACTGGTCAGCGAGTTTGCGAACTCGGTCGAGCACGAGGTCGACGATTTCCTTTCCGATGGTGTAGTGACCTCTCGCATAGTTGTTTGCGGCGTCTTCCTTGCCTGTGATCAGCTGCTCCGGGTGGAAGAGCTGACGGTAGGTGCCAGTGCGCACTTCATCTACTACGGTGGGTTCTAGGTCTATAAATACAGCTCTGGGGACATGTTTGCCGGCTCCCGTCTCACTGAAGAAGGTGTTGAAGGAGTCGTCTCCGCCGCCGACGGTTTTGTCCGAGGGCATCTGTCCATCGGGCTGGATGCCATGCTCAAGGCAGTAGAGTTCCCAGCACGCGTTCCCGATTTGAACGCCGGCCTGTCCGCCGTGTATGGATATGCACTCACGCATTTTTCACTTGTCTGAACTTAAAAATAAAATATTTCTCTACAATACGAGCCGATCCAACTCGAGCAGCAACAAACTTCAAACTGAGAGCAAAACAAAAACTTCGAGAGTTCCGCGTTCCATCGTCTTAATTCAAATTTGAATTTATTTTTCACGTATGATGTTTTGCGACATAATTGCGCGGAGTCTGAAAAAAGTTTTCATTTTTATTCAGTTTGGCATTGGGATTGAGATAATTATTTTACAAGTAAGTACCTACTTAGGTACCTAAGTAGGTATTACTTTAATAAATGATATCCCCTAAAATCGAAGTGGGACTGCAAGACTAATTATAACTATTTCTAAATGAACCGCTGTCGTTATTAAACCAACATTTTAATAAACTCTTTTCACAAAATAAGTAAACGAATTCCGTCCAGCGTCTCCGTCTTCGTTAGGATTTTTTAATGTTTTAATTACGTAATCAGTCGGTAGACATTTTCATTAAGAGTTTCACTTCATGGCTTCCTCCAGTTATTAATTTGTTAAGGCGTGTCTTGCTAGCCTCTGCGATTCCAGGGAAATTGGGGCGAGGCCCTCATGCAGGTACTATGAAAGAGAATTTTTGAAAATATTAAAGCGGCGTGTTTTAATCTGAAACTCCGCAGTGCTAGTTACGATAGCTTTAAGCTCATAATGTTTGAAAGCTCATACAAAGGTGTAACTTAGCCGACTAAACTTTTGTATCTACTACATTCGGTAGATCTGTGAAATAATAAAATATGTACAGGATGGCCAGATTGGCCAGGGAGTTGACGTTCAAATCTAAAACTTAGATTTCATACATCAAGGTGTATCTAAATCACACTCGTATGGTCTAAAGAAACATCGAGCATAGCCCTGGGCAACTTTGAGCTTCTTTAAGAGGCATATACTGAGAGGCCACGTTTCGGAGCCATATGTCATCACTGGTAACATAAATGGTGAGCGACCTATGATAAATAAAAAAATAAAATAAGCCTTTATTACTGTTACATTTTTAACTTATTTGACAAAATAAATTAAAAATGATAACTAGAGGTAAGGAAAATTCACTTAAACTAACGAGCGACCTAGCAAGGTATAAAAATGCTCATTACCACACACGTTGGCGGGAACTGTTCTATGCTACCAGTGGGGGAGTGGGGTTTGGGGTGGTGGAACTTGTGAAGTTTTTTGATTAACTTCCTTTGATGCACTGGAAGCAGTCTGCACAAACTGGGCCAAACGTACTTAGTAGGTTTCATATTAAGAGCGTTTACGTCTAGCGTGGCATGTCAAGTTTAGGTAATTTCGATGCTATTTTTATTCACACTAAAATAATTGTGACTGTGTGCGTGTTCTCACGCTCTATAGTCAAACCAAAATACTTTGATCCACCATCGTAAAAGTGTGCCAGGCTGTCAAGTGACAGCCCAAAGAAACTATAAAATCTTCAAATCTTCCAACACCGACTCTATAATTATAAATAATGGTATACATTCGTTCGTTCGTTCGTTCGTTTCAGCCGAAAGACGTCCACTGCTGGACAAAGGCCTCCCCCAAGGATTTCCACAAAGACCGGTCCTGCGCCGCTTGCATCCAGGTACTTCCCGCGACCTTCACCAGATCGTCGGTCCACCTAGTCTAAGTACATTAGTCCTAATCAATAATAAATACGTAAATTCTTTATCAAATAGTAAATTATCAAAGGTTTTTTACTATTTTGAGAATATTTTATACAGCCTATGTTCAGCAGAAAAAAAAATGAATTTTAATGGTGAGAGATTTTTTCAAATCGGTTCTATTTAAAACAAACTTTTCCTGTTTACTATTCTTTTTTTATCCGGAAAATGCATAACATTGGAGTTGCCAACTTTGTGATGCGAAATGAATATCTTAAAATACCCTTACTCATATGTATCATATGTCATTTTAGTCCTTATATAGTCTACTTTACGTTAATATTATATGACAATAAGTAAATACCACGGGTTTTTTTATAAAAAATATTTTATGCAAAAGAGGCGATTTCACTAGTTTTCGTCCAAAAAAATCAGTTTTCGTCCTAGTGTACGCTAGTTTTCGACCACTGTGTAGAAAAAAGGGTGCAGTTGAATTATTAACTTAAAACCAATTCTACAATACAGTAACTATGGATTGTGGTATATCATTTGAAAGGTAATTTTGTTAGCTTTCAAATGATATCAAAAAGATTTAAATAAGTTTCTTACCTAAATTTGGGAAAATATTGCAATAGGTCGAAGGACAAATGGACGAAAACTAATCTACAGGAATAGCTAATTTTGGTTTTCGTCCACCCCAGTGCTTGCTCATGACGTCATGGACGAAAACACAACAACGTTTAAAGCTGTTTTTTGTTTTCGTCCACATCTTTTTAACGGTTTTTATGGGTTTATCACTGTTAAAAAGTGGACGTAAACTAAAATGTTTAATGTAATAGCAATAAAGATCATATTGGAAGAAAAAACATTGTATTTTGTAGGTCCATTGAAGTAAAATGATTATTAAAAATATTAACTAGGTGTCAGGGTTTCCGTCCACGTGGACGAAAACCAAAATCTTGCAAAATTGTTATGCTAGTATTAGTCCACTTAATTATCTAAGATTTCTATACAAAAACTTTAATAAACCCTTAAAATAGTGTTTATTATGCTAATAATTAGACATACATGCCAAAAACATTACGTAAAGTAGCTAAAACAGTAATTAAACATACCATAAAAGTTCCCTACCGGCACGTTTTTTTTTCTAACTTGACGACGTTTTCCATTCACCTGTGTGCAGCAGCAACTTCCGTAGATTTTTTGGAGTTATTACTTGTCAAATCACATTTTCATGCAGGCAGAACTGTTACTTAGATATTATAGATTGTAACAAGTCCAAACTTGCACGAAAAGTTAGGTTTGTATTCTAATTTTCCGTATTTGTTTGTGGCAAGTCGGTCAAATGGACGAAAACAGGAGCTGGACGGAAAACCGGCGCAATTACCCTAATAAGGGATAGATAATAGCGAGTTTTTTCTTTAAAAAACTTAGGGTGGGTTGCACCATCTTACTTTAACTTTGACAAACGTCAAAAATCTGTCAAACTCCATACAAAAAGCACCGGTTATCGTCATAGTTACCGTTAAATTTAGGTGGTGCATCTCAGCCTTAATGTTAAATAATCCACGGAAATGAATTTTTTTATGAACTTGTTGAAATTCACCCGTGTATAAAAGTGTTTAATAAAAAATATTAAAAATACTGAGTAGGAACATTCCATTAGCTTTCAACAGTCTGAATTTATTATAATCAATCACTGATACAATGTTTTCATAAATGTAAATCTCAAATAATGCTATGCTAAAAGCTACAAATAGTTTTAAGTACTACAATTAAAACATTTTACGTAATAGTTGCTAAAAAGCAATAATAGTACCTACCTATATTTTTTTTCTTCTCGAACATAGCCATCTACATTTTTAGAACGATGTTACAAATAAACATTAACAAAACATGGCAAAAAATCCTGTGCATTTCCATTACATTATTGTAACCAAAATCCGGAAAACACGGCTGAAAGGACAATGTAGTATCAACACCCTCCGCTAGATGGCACTACTCGTTCTAAATATCAACTCGCGAGACATGATTTCACTTTCACCCGTGTCCTTGAAATGGCTCTATGGGCAATCCAGCTTTGTGGGCAGACGACTGCATCCCGTTCTTTGAAGGAACGGTTTTTCGCGGTACGGTTTACAAAAAACATTATGCTGGAAACTGATTGTGGGAACACTTATATCAAACAATACCTACTTGTTCCTTACCGATGTCTCATCATGATAACATCGTTATCAATCGTTAAAAAGGTCTTAATTTAGTTTAATAAGACTTTTAATAACTTTCTAAGAGGTTAGAAAATACTTCAAAACAAAAAAAAAACCCTTGTCACTGTCAGACGAAAGCTATTCCGAGTTTTCCGAACAATAACATTATTGATCTATATATATAAAAATGAAACCCGTTTCGCGTTGTCACGGCATCACGTGTGAACGGCTGAACCGATTTCGATAATTCTTTTTTTTAAATGTTTGTGGAAGTCCAAGGATGGTTCTTACGGAAAAAAATATTAAGAAAATCTCTACGCTAAGGCGGTACGAAGTTCGCCGGGTCAGCTAGTTGGTAATAAATAATAATGGTTTTAAATAATTACATAACAATAAAACAAAAACGTGTAAACAATTAACTGGACTCTTTTTTACTGGTCCAGTTTGATGACAAACCTGAATCCCAAATTCGAACGGATCGGATTTTTGCGAGACACTGCAATCGGGATATTCGTGTGAATGTTTAGTATTCAAATAGGTATCTATACTGCTAAACGGGATCCTGCAAAAAACAGTACCCTGCATAAACGGAATGCCTCTATGGGAAAGTGCCCTAAGGTATAGAGGCAGGCCCTAGGCCCGCCCTATGGAGATTATCTGTTTCCTTTACTCACAATTTTTTTTCTTTTTTTTAAAGATTATTAGCAAAGAAGACCGGTCATCTGTGACCCAGGCCCGACAGAAAAGAGACATACCTCAGTTTTTTTGTCATGTCTTATTAATAGTTAAATTATATATTTTTTATATTCGGAATCTATGTAGGTAGGTAGTACTCGTATTACACCAAAATATTACCCTTTGTTTTTGTTCAAGCGTTATACAAAAACTAATACAAAATGCCTATTTATCACCAAAAATGGTAAATGTATGTACCTAAATGTCTATTACAGCTGCTATGGAATGTATTTAGGTGACCTGGAGATACAGCCGGATTATACAGGGTGGAAACGATTATTTCTAAACTATACAAGATATCGAAAAACTAGTTACTGATTCTGAAAGTGCTTCACGAGTTCTTTCAAATGGTACCAATAATAGGTTACAGATTATGGAAGCTGGTAACATTGAATTTTTGGATTTTGTAACTTCTCGTTTCCACCCTGTATAATCCGGCTGTTTCTCCAGGTCACCTAGATACATTCCATAGCAGCTGTAATAGACATTTAGGTACATACA